GTAGTGAGTAACGGGGCCGGGGCGGCTGCTCCGCGCTCCTGCCCGAGTCCCGTTCCCGGCAGCGTTCTCTGCGCGGCATCTGCAGAGCGGCTCCGCGAGATGCCGAGAAGGGGGGCCGGGCTGGGATGGGGAGGGGGCGCACTCACCACGGGAAAAAAAAAAGTGGCTTTCTGTGGTAAAGCTTCCCGTGTTTTACGGCTCTCCCATCGAAAATGCCCTTGGGGGCTCCGCGAGGCTCAGCCTGTAAATCTCCACCCACTTCCTGTGCTCGCTCTGTGCAGAGCGCGGCACATCAGAAACTGTCCGTGGGAGGAAAATCTGGAAGGAAAATGTTTTTGCCTTTGCGTTTTGCGATTGACCCGCACGGTGACTGCCCAGCTGCTGTGGAGGCGGCTTGGGGAGGGGGAGAAGCACAAGCTCAGAAATTCCTTGGTCGTAAAGTTCCTCTGCAGTTATAACCCGAAATAAAAGACATTTCAAATATTATGTAGAATCTACTTATCTCTGCTTTCCTCAGCTTTTAAATGGAGGAATATTAGTGGTGTTGGAGGAACGCTGGGGAAATTCAGTTCTCAGTTCCAAGCAGTTTGTTTTGAGTAGATAGCCCCGGTTTACCTGTAGGCTTGTGTATGGACACAGCTGTAGGGTCAGCACTGTGACCTGGAGCGTGGTGGGAGGCTGTGTTTGAGAGTCCTCAGAGTGATGCTCTTCTTTCCTTTTCACCATTTTAATTAAACCACAAAAGCAATTGGTGCAGAGGACAAAAGCCATCCTCTACCTCATTCTGACATATGTTATTAAATACATTTGAGTGGATGTGTTCTGCAAAAGCTCAAGACAGAACTGAATAATGTTGTGTATAGCCTTACTGTTCTCTTGGGCAAAAAGCAAGAGAGGATGATCCCAAAAGCTCTGTTGTGTCTCTCTCCAGTGAATACAGGGGTTTGGTGAAGCACACAGGAGGCTGTCACTGTGGAGCCGTCCGTTTTGAGGTCTGGGCTTCAGCAGATCTGCACGTGTTTAACTGCAAGTGAGTTGGTTTGTTCCCTGTTCCCAGAGATGAGTGTCAGCTCTCTGCTTTTTCCAACCTTTGAGCTAAAGATGAGACAGCTGCAGAACACCCTCTGAGCTGTTTCCATAGGATTTACCCCTAATTATGTCCTGATCCACTAGAAGATCAGTGTTGGTGATTTCAGGTGCTGCTTTGGGCAGGACTTCATGTCTCACAGCCAGGTTCACACAGAGAGTGTCAGGAGAGATCTAATGAGTCCAGGTGCTCAGCCATCTGCTTTCTGTTTCATGCAGGGGGCTCAAAGCACATTGATCTTTTCTTAACTTGTTCTTCTCAAATGACATTACAACCCTGACCACATGTGCCTCAAACTAAAACACTCTCTGGTTTCAGTAGTGACCCTCCTTTGCCTGCAACTTGTTTGCTTCCAGCTCATGGGTGAACTGCTGAACTTTACTTTCTTGTTTGCAAGGTAATGAATGTTGGCAAAATTGCCCAAGCGTGCTCTGAACAAATAAGAGGATTTCTCAGGGCTAGAGTTTGTCAAGTTTGTTGAGTTTGTCCTCAACAGTTGTGTCTAAGAATATCTTACTGGGGTACCTGTGTAGGGTCAGTCTTCACAGGTGTGCTCAGCAAAACACTACTGACACCACAAATCCACTTTTGCCACTTACCTCTGAGCCATTCTAGCTGTCAGTGGAATTTCTGTTGTCAAGAGGTCTGATTGCTACTCTACAACATGTCCACTTCTTCTAGAAAGGTCTGCTTTTTCTTTTACAGTTGCAGCATTTGCACAAAGAAACAGAACAGACACTTCATTGTGCCAGCATCACGTTTCAAGCTGCTGAAGGTAGAGTAAGAACACAGTAAGAGCATGGCCATGAGCACAAGCAGTGTTCTCCTCAAAGAGCCAAGAACAAGCAGTTTTCTGCCCTAGGTTTGGTTGGTTGGGGGAAATGGCTGCAATTTAAGCTGTCTGGTGTGGTTGTGTTAGTGCATCTTGTTTAGAGCTCTTGCAGTTCCCAGGCCTGACTTACATCCTTATGGACACTTAACATAGGGGTTCAGGAAAGGAACGGGAATACACAGTTCTGTATCTCAGATAAAGACAGGAAGGTGGCATTTTAAATTGTTAATTTCTTAGCTACAGGCCCAAAGTAATTAATCTATCTATCTATCTATCTATCTATCTATCTATCTATCTATTTCCATGGAAAACTTACAGTGCTTTTCCTTTGCTTAGGGTGCTGACAATTTGACAACATACACCTTCAACACACACTGTGCTCAGCACACATTCTGCAAGACCTGTGGTGTTCAGAGCTTTTATACTCCTCGTTCTAACCCTGATGGTTATGGTAGGTACAAAGCAAACTGTGATAACCAGAATTAACCACCAAGCAAACACTGGATAAATGCTCCATTGGATGCTGACATGACAGGTGTTAATAAACACCTGGAATTGCAGTTTGAACCTGTAGCTCCTCCGTAAAAAACAATCTTACCTATAATGTGTGGGCTTTTTCCTGTGACAGGATTCTTATCCAGGCTCCTCAGCCTCAAAGCAATAGCATTTACAGTTCCCTGAGATGCCCCAGCCATGGAATGGAGCAGGCATCTCCCACATTTTATGAAAAGCAGGTTTCTGTGTATTCTGTCTTTCTTCAGGAATAGCTCCTCACTGTCTGGATGATGGCACCGTGCAGACCATTATCACAGAGGATATCAATGGCAAGGAATGGGAGAAAGCAGTGAGGGAACATAAGACCATCAGAGACATGTCAAAACCCTGATACACCCTTCCAGCAGCCTTGGGAGCACTGCCATGGAACTGCAGTCTGGGGTTTCCTGCGTGATGGTTGGTGAAATCAATCTCTACTGTTACCTGTTGTCTGTTTCTTAAATAAATCTTTCTATGCTGATTGTCTCATTCCTCTGTGACTCAGTTTTCAAACTGCCTCTGCTCTGTATACCACACCAGGGTTTCTAGTTTGGCACTTTGCCTTTAGCTGTGCTAAAGTTTAAAGCACAATACAAAAGACCTCATTACAGTCACTTGCACCTCATTCCTATGTCCTGCTGAGACTCTTGTGAGTTGATCTTAAGCCCTGTTCTGAATCAAGAGGAAGAGCTCATATTTCAGGAGGGACATTGTGAAGGTGAAGCCTGCAACACAATGTGTATAAAAGAAGCAACAGCAAATGTCAGTGCAATTAGCAAAAATTGCACGATTTCTGATGTTTTATTCAAAAGCTTTGGCTTTTTAAAGTTCTGACTGAATAACAAATGTGGTGTGGTTGTGATATCTGTGGAGATAACATGATCTTTGAAAAGTTACTCCTGATACCTGGATTTTACAAAAGCACCAAGGGAGAGTTGCCAAGCAGTCCTTGCAGCTCTGTGTTCTTGGAGAAACCGTATGTGCGATATCTTCTCCAGTGCAGAATCCTCCAGGGCTTGACTCCCAATTAAAGTTAATCCAAATTTCTCATCTTATTTAAGCTCTTATAGTGAGGAAATAGAGTAGCTGTTAATCCCATTCTCAGTGTATCAGGCAACAAGATACTCAGAAGGAGGTACACCCAGCCTGGTTTTGTAGTGTGGAGAATGTCACACAAAGAGCATCCCATCCTGTTGAGCACCTAACACAGAAGCTTTCTTGAGTCCTGGGCCTGGCACAGTCGGTTTTTTGCTCATTCTTTTACTCCTGTGAGTGATGTCCTGTCAGAGCAGGCGCAGTGAATTGACCACCAGGTAACGAGAGAAGAGCAGGTAGAGCTGGCGGAACCAGAGGAGTTGGCTGCGATGGAACCGCATGGCTCTCTAGGAGGAAAAACAGCAGAGAGAGCATTACAAGAACCTTCCAGAGATGATGTGAGGGCAATTTCCTGCTCCTGCTATGAGGGTCAGTGCCCATTTATAGGACAGCCTGTTTTAAGAGAACAGGGAGAGGCAGGGGAAGTGGAAGGCTGCCTAAGATCTGGGCCTGTCTGCCCCCGAGTCTGGTGTTGAATGCCTGATGTTCAGAGGGTCCTGCTAGAAAGGACACTATGTGTCACTTCTAATTCCTCCTCCCCACATGATCTTAGGCCTGGGGAAGTGTTCACATGCTGGGAAGCAGGAGCCTGATAGGTGTGTTTGGGAACATCTCTGGTCCTTCTGACACACTGCCAGCTGCAACTGAGTCTATTTATAGTGCACCAGCCTAAAAAAGTCAGATTTCAAGAACAATACATGGGAATAATGAACACCACCTTTATCCAAGCTGCTTCCATCAGTAACTCTATCTTTTAACAGCCTCAGAAGCAGGAAAAGTCTGCAATTTGTGAATTAACAGCACTGTTTTCTGTGTAAATATTTTCATGCTATGGAAGGGGAGTTACTCAGATATAGGGAACTGTGGAGTAAATGTGTGAGATCCTATGCAGCAAGATAGTTTAAAAATGTCCAGTAAAGGGAACTTCTGAAGAACTTTGGACCACAAGTTCACAGTCTGTCTCCATCTTTAGTGAGAGCTGTGATCCAAGGATGTTGTTCCTGGCATGCAGTCATGCCAGGCTTTTAACAGGCCACTCACAGGTTCAGAACACTGTGTTGGATCCAGTTTCCTTTGAAATGCATCCTACATCCTGGAGAGTGTAAAACTCAATGCCCTATGACTGAGCTAAAAATCTCAGCCCTGTCCTGTCATGCAGCACATGAGGTAACCTTGCTTGTCCATGTTTTTAAAATCACTGCAGACATTCCTCAGTGACATTTATAACCCATGGGTACAATTACTTCTGACATTCCCTGGGAATGTGACACTTGTGACTAAAGTGCTCACAATGAGGATGAGCCAGTCAAGCAGGTGCCACATATCTCACCTTGGCTTGTTCAGTCTCCTCCTCTGTGAGGATGAAGAGTGCATCCCTGGGCAGGAGGCAGGAAATGAGGACATCCAGGAAAGAAATGTATTTCCTGAAGAGATTTACTGATTCCAGCACGAGCACACGGCACCCTACACAGAGAAAAGGAATAAATATTTCAGAACAGCATTCTTGTAAGGTGCTCTTTTCTCCAGGCTCAGCAGCTTCCCTGTGCTGCTGGCCTTGGGAATCTTTTTTGTGTAAAAGGAGAACAACTTCTGATGCACCCACCAGAATTTCTTTGTGCCCAGTGCACATCTATGACCATTTGCATTGGCTCTTATTCTGTGTGTGATTCTTTGTACAGTTCTTGTTCTGTAATAGCCTGTGAAAAGCAAAGCTAGCTTTGAATACCAAAACTGTGTGGTTTTTTTGCTTGTAATTTAAATTCTTCCTGCATAATTAGGCTAAAAAAAATAGGTGCAGATGATTCTCTGAATGCTGACACTATATCATACAATGGAATTTTAAAACAGTAGTTTCTGGTTCAGCTACCAAAATGTAATTTCATATTTCTACTCCAATTCTTAGCTAGAGAATAAATATTTACAAGCCTCAGGAATCAAATATTAACTCAGGCAGGCAGTTACACTTTAACAGAAGTTCCTGAATTTATTGTAGATGTTTGTGATGAAGCAGATGAAGGTAACAAGATTTCAAGATTCTGCTGACGCTGAAGGGCATTTTTTCCTGTTTTAAAGATCCCTTTGAACTCAAAAGTTAATTGCTATTTTTTTTTACCATTGCTAAATTGTCTCCACTGATGAGTTCAGAGCCACTGATGGTCCCGTTAAGAGCCTGCAGCTCTCAAGGGAGCTGCTTTGGGATCTCCTTGGTTTGGAAGCTGCTGTGATTATGTTCCACACTTCCCACATTGTATTAAAGTTTGACAGAAGAGGCCAAAGTCACAGTTTACCCAGGTGGTCACAGATGCAATTCCATTTGCAATGAGGTTTCCTTCAGTGAGCCCTGAAACAGTGAAATTACACAGAAGAGACAGAACAAAGCTCTCATGGACTCCCTCTGGCACATCTCCAGGATCTTTCAATTCCTTTCTTTCTTTTCTCTTCTCCAAGGGTGTTGTTCCACTTTTCAGCAGCCCTCTCCCACTCTCCAAAGCCAGACCGGTTAACTCTTCATGTCAGTACCGCAGAGGGTGCTGCTCCCCCTCCACTGAAGGAGACACGGGACATTGGGACATTGGACAGCGGGTCACACCGAGCATTCACAGCAGCGATTTTCTCCTGCTGTGGGCAACACTGGGCAGAGGCAGAGCCCTCAATCACCACGGCGCTCCCAGAGGCGCTGCCGAGCCCGCGGGGCCGTGCCGGGAAGCGGCGGGCGCTGCTCGGGAGCCGCCGAGAGGTGGCGGCATCGGCCGGCTGCGGAGGGGCCCGAGCGGGACCCGCATCCCCCCGGCACCTCCCGGCCCCGCGGGGTCACGGGCAGCAGCTGGGCAACGCCGAGAGCCCCGGGACGTGCGGGAATGTGCGAGCAGCATGGCTCGGATGCCTCCTGACCGAGAACCCGAGCCCCTGTCCCGCTCACAGCCTGCCGGGACAAGGGACACGCAGAGCGGCTCGGCTGCCATCGGCTCCAGTTGCTCTCTCAAGGGATGCTCTGCAGGCACAAGTGCTGCAGTCGCTCACAGAAGTGCCCTGACACTCCTTTTATCTCACTTGGAGATATTTCTTGTTTCCGAATAGCAACCTTGGAAGGAAACCTGCGATGTGTCATGAGTGGGGAAACCATTCTTCCCCTTCCTCTGCAGAGTTGGGGTAGTTTCAGAGGGAAGAATTAGTACAGTGCTTCTCCTGTCCTCAGCAAAGGCACCTGTTTGCTTTTCAAAACTTCCTTTCCTGGAAGGCTTTAATGAAGTCTGGCAATGCCACATCAATTCCTACTCACAGTAATGGGAAGAGAGGCTTGGCACCACTCTCTGAAGCTTGGGCTGCTCTGTTAACCAAATGTGCTCTCCCTTTTCTCATTTTTGAACCTGAGAAATATTAATTCCTGAAGCAGTTGGACCCTTTTTCTCCCCAAAGCTCAGCAATAAGGACTCAAAACCATGGCAGTTGATTTCAGTGTGGATGGCTCTGACCTGCTGGGTTCTTCTTGGCCAGATCAGGTGAAGTGGTGGCAGCCAGCTCCCCAAAAAGAAGGGCACTGTAAGAGCCCTCCATGTCAGTGATCCAACCAGGATTTCCATGTGCTGACAGAAAAGCCTGCTCTGCATGGCAATGTGAGATGAAATAAAGCAGCAAAGGAATGTACAGTCCAGGGAGAGATGGAAAAGGGTTCAGAGAAACAGGCTGATCCCTGCCAAGAGGGGTGAGAGCAGCGCTGCCATTGACAAGTCTGCTCCTGTGACACCAGCAGGTGAAGCTTTTCAGAGCCTGTTGTGCCTGTGACCTGGGCAGGATGGGATTAGCAGTGTAATGCAACCTCTCCAGGTTGGCAGAAAGGGCAGGATCAATATAGCTCATGGATTAGGCTGAGAATAGAAGTGTGTGAAGCCCACAGCCTGCTCAGCTTGTCTTTCCACTTCCAAATCACTCAGGCAGCAAGGATGCCTAGAATGAGGAGCTCCTGAGTGAGCACTCAGTGTGCTGCAGGCCTGCACTGCTCCTGATGGAATGAGGCACAGGTTCTTCTGGAAGAGCACTGGTTATAGCTGGAAGGGGCCAGTGGCAGGGGTGGGAGCACATCCAGCAGTTGTCTTGGCTTCTTGAAACAAGTGCTTGTGCCTGGGCTGGAGAACTTGATTACAGATTATAAAAAGCCTGTTGTGTTTGTGCTGGCTAAAGGCATTAGAAAGCAAAGCAGGATATTTAGGGTGCTCATTTGCATATCACTGAGGCAATGCAAGGCTTAGCTGGCTTTTGCATTTGCAAGATTTTCTGTGGATTCCCTGATCACATGGGCTTACACAGGCTCACCCACAAACAACTCCCTCTTCCCAACAGCAGCGCAGCACTTTTCCACAGCCTGAACATGTCTTTCAGCTCCATCCAGACAGCCTCAATCCCAGCATCACTCTTGTTTCACTCTTGTTTCATTAAGCCCCTCTGATGCACAGCCCTGCACGCCTGCCAGATCAAATTATAAATACTGGGAATTTCAACGAGACTGGAACTATATTTGGAAAGGCTTAGCATAAGCAGCAGCATGGGAGCTCCCCGTTCCTTTGGTGTTTGTAGGTCATGTCAGATGTGATGTAATCAGAGCAGCAAGGCTTGCACAGAGCTCCAGCAGTCTCTTGATGCTGCTGGAGAAATGGAAATGTTCTCTATATGTGGGTCTGTTTCAAACCTGAATGGATTTGAGGCACAGCCCATATTCAGGACCAGAGTGAAACCTGCATGAGCAGCACATGAAGGTGGCTCAGTGTAGATGGGGCCTGACAGCCAGCACCGACATCAACCACTGCAGCTCCTTGTCCTTTGTGCTGCACACAGAGCTCTGCTGCTCTGAACAAAGAAAAGGTCCTAGGAAGGAAGCTGGCACTAATAGTCCTCTTTCATGAACTGGGCAACTGAAGGGACTGGAGTCAGAGTTCAGCTTAAGGGCATTCTGCCATCTTGGCTCATGCTGTCTCATTAGGCCTGCAACTTCCTGCTAGCAGAGAATTAAAACTGATTTGCTGTGACTCATTCAAATCCTACAATGATTTGGGAATTAGCATTAAAGGAACACAGCCTGGATGGCTGCTGAGGGAGCAGCATATTGACTGGGTGGGCCTGGCTCAGCCACCTTCCTGTGCTCTGTGCAAACAGCTGAGTGACAGCTTTGTGCTTAAATGAGGTCCACACATTTGTCCCTGGGCAGGCCCTGTTTGCTAGAGATAAGGGCTGCAGCTCTACTCTAGAAAAGGGGTCAGGAGAAACCTCTTTCTGTACTTCCTTTATTTTCCCTACTTGTACAGAGAATTTCTGGGAGATTCTTGCTCACAGGTGGAAGAAGCCACTACAATTTGTTGTGCCACTACAGATTTCAGGTTCCTTTCCCAAGCACATTTCGGTGGAGGCTGAACTTGCTACATGCAAATATTTTTGACTAAGTGGGTAATTGTTTCTGAGACTTTTGTCACAGAAAAGGGAAAAGGCTTGTAAGCAAGATGTGACCAATAACTGACTAAGCTGAGGGACCTGGAAAGAGCACTCAAATTCAACCAAGAGGCACAGGCCAGACATCACACCACTCAGGCAGGACAACCCCAGGAGACTGAAAAGTGACTGTAGAGAAGCCTGAACAGGTAAAAAATTGCAGGAAGATAAAAGTTCAGCTGTAGGTTTCATCTGCGGTGCAGGTGTAAGCTGGGCAGCTGGAACCCTGGACACAAGAGTAAAGGACTGCAGGGTGGAGATGTGAGGTAGGATGGGAGATGATGGACTCCTACCTTCAGGTAACTTCCCCTCTGAATGCAGGTACCTATGAAAGAAAAGATACAAGGGGGTCAACTCAGTGGAATTACTCAAGCCCTGATTTTACAGGAATAAAACCCTGCATGCTAAACCAACCCCTTTCATTTAACACACAGTGACAACAGCCAATCTTGTGAGAAACTTCAGGAGCCCACACTGGATTCACCTCAGGCAGGGCTAAGCCTCGTTCCCCACACTATTCTGCCATTCCTTTCCTCATTCTGGCTGCTGGGACACATCACAAATCAGCTCCATAAAGCAAATTCACTCTCAGACTTCTTAAGGGAAACCCAAGAGGCTGCCAAAGGCTGTTCACCCCTGGGAGCACCTCTGGCTGTGTAAAGTCCAGGCTATGCTGGCCGGGGCATTGTCTCAGCAGCTGCTCCTCTTTGGGCACCAAAAAAACTTTTTTTCTAACCCAGGCCAGCACTGGGACATCTGAGAAACTTCTCTGGCTTTTTGCTCACCAAGACTTTGATCCCTTCATGACTTTGTCCTGGGGAGTCTCTGTAACAAAACAGAACGGGAGGGCCAAGAATGGGAGATGTGAATGGTGATGGCACTTCCACGAGGAAGTGTAAGCAAATGACCTTGGGATAGTGAGGGCATCAGAAGGTGGTAATATCAATTCCTTTCTTAATTCTCTTGTTTTTCCTGCTCATGGCTTGGGGAGCACTTGAGCTGACATTCCCATCCTGGATTTGGCCCACGGCAGGGGCTGGGAAACAGCAGGTCTCCAGCAGATGGCACTCAGGGCTGTCCCACACCCAGTCCTGCTCTTCCAGGAGAAAAAGAAATCCAAACAATGGAACATTTGCCAAAACGAGAAAGGAAATAATAATAATCATAAAGTTATTTAACCCTATGTAATATTTAAAGAGATTGTTATCACCTTATAGTGGTGTATCTAACAAAGGACAATGTGCCAGTTCATGTGTAAATCAGCCAGGATAAAAGATGCATTATATGTAAACTGCTGTGTTTCTCCAGTCACTTTCAAACTAGGATTATCTCTGGCTGTTGGTTAAGTTCAAGGAAAAGGATTAGCTACACAGGCCTAGACAAAATAGGAAGCACGGAGTGATGAATACCCAATGCAATACAAAGCAAAAATCAAGCCAGAAATGCAGGTCATGACAGAACTCAAACAGCAATCAGAAAACATATTTAAACAGATTCTCCTGTCAGTGGTGTCCTCTGCTCCAGAGCCAAAGCAATGCCATTTCCTACTAAACAATGGCCTTGGAATAGTGACCTGGCCACCTTCTACCCCACCACTCAAGTCTTACTGCTCTGACAAAGATTGTTAAATGTTGCCTTGTAATTTAAATATCTCCATTAATATCTGCTCTGCTCTTCTGCCAGAGGTTTCTTCCCTCACAAGTGGAATCTGGCCACACAAAGAAGTGATTCAGCACTTGGTATAGTTAGCAGGGAACCTTTTAGAATAAGCTTGGAGAGATAAAGCAGTGAGTGGTTGTGAAATTTGACAAACTCTCTGAAGGCCCGGTGTCTGTTCTGGGTGTGCTGCTCTGCCATGGAGGCACCTTCAAAGCACTGAGCTGCTCCAAGAGGGAGCTAATAATAACCATTCCTGTCACTAAAAACAGGAGTGAGAGATCCAGCTCATATGGAAACGTTTCAGCAGGAGCAGGGAGCATCTTCAGCAGGGAAGAAAAGTGTGAATCAGCAGTAAATTAAGGAGTTTGTGCTTCTGTAAAGGTTCAGGGAGACACAAACTATGTTTGGTTACTGAAAGGTCCTCAAAGCTGCTGCCAGCTGACCTGTCACTCATCTGGAAGAACAGGCATGAAGAAACTGCATCTCTCCTCATCCTTTTTGTCCCGATCCAAATGCTTCAATTCTCAGCAAGGCTCAGTGCAGAGCCCTGGGAACGGGCTCCACCCAGCTCTGTGTGCAGAGGAATTGCAGCCTTGCTCATTTCTATTTCTCTGTGGTTGCAGAGAGAGAGAGAGAGAGAGAAACATGAAGCTCTACCTCCTGCACACGTTCACAAAATGAGCCAATCCTCTCCCAAATCCATCTTCTCGCTCCCATCTCCACCCTGCTGGAGCGTCTCCATGGGACACATCCAAATAGGGGAGAGGTTGCAGTTCTCAGTTGTTGCCATTTTGGGAATGTTGTTTTACAGATTGGACTTGCTGTGGTTTGGGCGAAATGAGTTTGGCATAAAATCTCAAAAAGTAAAACACAAACAGGCTCTTTTTCAGGAGATTTTTCCATGTGGGTGTTGTTTTTTTTTTCTCAGAGAGACTTTTTATAATCCTTTTTAAACATAAAGTGACCTAAGGTGGCTCATTCCCACCCACTGCCCAAATGCCCGAGCCCGGTGATTACCTCTCCCTGCACCCTCTCTGCTATGCCTGTGGTAGGTTCAGATCCACACGTGAGACCCTCTGCAGTGAAGAATTTGGGAAGACCATGAGGCATCCAAAGGCTCCAACCATTCCTGCCCTGCAAGAACTCAGCTCCAGCTCCTCCCTCAAGGCCCAGCTGCTTTGAAGGCTGTTGCTGTCTGCAGCCACTGGCTCCATCTGCTCAGCAAAAGCACTGAGATGGCCCAATGCCCTCACCCTGCAAACTGCAGCACTGAGCTTGCTCCCAAATTCCCTGTCTTTACTCAGGCATCCTCTAGGAAAGGTGTGGGTGGGTCAGCTCCTCTGTGACACTGACCAGTGAAACCTCCCAAGCTGTTCCAAGAAGGAACAGGTCAAGATGGAGCACAGAATTCCTTCGGGGCTCATGCCCACAAGGGTGTGTTACAGTTTGGGTGATGTTTGATGAGAAGTTGTTCATTCAATTCAATGACTTCACTCTCCAAATAGTTTCCCAAGCCAGAGGCAAAACCCTTCACTGAACTGACTGCTGGCTGCTGAGGAGCACTGGGGAATTACAGTTTTGAAGAGCATGGCAAAGAATGGATGTCTTAAAGCTGCATTGGGGCTCCATTTAGGATCCCAACCTCTAATCTGCCCAATTAATCTGATGAAACAGATGTGAGGGAGGAAGAACAGGCAGTCTCCTAGGAATCACAGACACATTAGAAGGATATACTTGCCAGATGTTGGATGTCTGCTCTCTGGAATGCCTCTTCCTTCCCCAACTGGACTTTCTGGCTCCATTTCCATGCACCCTGAACTACACCATGGAGCAACACTTTGTACAACACTGCTCAGGCACTGCACTCACACGTGGGGCAGTGGCAAAAGATGATTCTGCCAGTGGCAATCCAGAGATCTTCCAGCTATTCCAGCTGTTCCTGCTCTGTGCTTTGGGCCTTGCACTGTCTGAGAGAAGAATGTGCTCCCCTCACTGCCAGCAGCCCAGGGACACAGGGAAGAACACCCCTTCTGTTTCTTTGGGAAAAAAGTGCCTTTTTTAGGGGGAATCCCTTCTGTGCTGTGCTCCATGCTCAGCTTTAATCTTAATGGCTCTCAACAGTGTCATGGAAGGACACTGGGATGAATGAACTTGGGGAAAGGGATATAGAATGAGATAAAATCTAGAATACATACCCAGCTATGGGATATATGCCAGGGCACAGAGCTTTGAGGGGAAGTCTCAAGGATGGACAGCAGAGTACAATTCTGTCCCAGCCTTATGGGGACAGTCTGGCTGCAACCACAGCCATCACTCATAAGGTCCCCCAGGACATTTAAGATCAGTAAAACAAGTGAGAAATGCATGGGCTGCAGCTGCTGAAAGGAGGGAGAGATCTTCCAGCCCCACACTGTAAGACGGCACCAACTAAAAACGATAAATGGGATATAATTCACTGTTATCAAGCTAATCACCCAAACTCAGCTTCCTCCCTGTCCTTCAAGACCTGGCCTTGGGAATTCAACAGAATTTCACAGCAGAACTGTGCTTTCTTGGGGAGGGACGCAGTTGGTGGCCTCTGAGAATGGCTCTCACCATGTGGGATTGGCTGGACACTGCTCTGCTCATTGTTTCCATACACAGATTTGCTGCTGGCATTTAACTAACCCTCCTCTTCCAGGGAGCCTCAGTGCAGCCCTTCTGCACAGTATCCATGGCATTCAGGAATGGGGCATTTGGTGGCCAGGATGGGACATGGGAGTGCAACAAGGTATTGGTGGCACTCAGGCTGCATCCTAATCAACTACTGAGTGATAAAGCTCCCAGATATTATCTCTATACAGCCTCATTTACAACCTGCCACAGAGCTGGTGAATGTTAAAAAACATCCTGCAGGACTGAGAGGTGTTTTTCCAAATGGAATTGACGAGAATAGGCTCAGCTAATGATTCCTTGATGTAGCATTTTATATGGCATCATTGATAGAAGTTTTATAGATGCAGTTGCTATAACAACAAAATGCACAGTGGTTAAATATAGCAGCTCCTATTTTCCACTCAGTTTGCTCTGCCCTAAGCAGACAAGACTATTCTTTTCTGTTCTAGCTGGGATGAAATGGATTTGATAGCTCACTAAAGAAAACAAGTGGTACAGTCCTTCTTTTTCCTCCTCAAAAAGATGATTCCTTTCCATCCTAAGCAAGCAAACAACAAACCAAACAGCCCCTCATTTGCCAGGCTCCTGGGCAAGAGGGGTTGTTTAAAATCAAAATGCACAGTGACTCATGCAAAACCAAACCACCTTGATATTACATGTGATCTCAGCATAGAGAGATATTATTTCAGAGTGCAGGAAAGAGATTTTCCAATATTCCTGTCACACAGTATTTACCAAGCTCATTACCACAGTGCCTAGTGACTGGCCAAATGCTGAGAGGGGATAAAGTGACCTGGATGTCACTCAAGACCTACCCTGTGGATGAGTATAAAGGATCCAACCTCCCATGGCCACAGGGAAAGCTCCTGTTTTAGGGGACAAGAGAGGATGACGTTACCAAATCAAGGTACAGAAGATTGCTTCCAGTTCTCTGCTTTGCTGCAGTGGGTTTTTCTTAGGTTTGGGTTGGGTTTTTTTTCTGTTTGGAAGCCAGAACTGAAATACTCCCAGGGGAGACTGAAATCAAATAGCAATTTGTGTTCCTCTCCCATCCTGTTTTTTCTTATTTTTCCCTTCCAGAAGAACAAATACATCCTTGAACCTTGGCATTTCTCAGTTCCTCCCAGATCTGAAGGCCAGGCAGGCACACAGCAGCAGCTGGACTCCTGCAAGCTGTCAGGAGGAAAGTTGCTGCAAGGGAAAGAGCTCATTTCTCCTGAGTAGTTCCTGCTCCTTTGAACATAACCTCTCAGTTCCAGACACTGGAAAGAATATTTATGCCCTTAGCAGACAACACTGAGCATCTGCTCAGCTGTGACCATTTCCTGAACAGTTTTATTCCTTGAAGCTGTTCAATAATTTGCAATTCTTTCCTCCACTTTTCACAGTGGAGGCAGAACCCTGCAGGACTTGTTTAAAGATGGTTAATAAATACATTGCAGATGATACCTGGAGGGGAAAGGTCGTTTGCCTTTCTCTTGCCATGTAGCACTGGGGCCCCAGGGGCAGCCCCTGCTGCTCTGCAGAGCTCTGCTAGCACAGGGGGACAGGAGAAGCCTCAGTTTATGCTCCCAGAGCTGCCTGTATTGGCCAACATGTGAGAACTCATCAGGGCACTGAGAGTCAGGAGTGATACAGTCACGCTCTACTTCCTCCATAACACAAACTGAAAAATAATGAGGGCAAGCAAGCCACTAAAAATAAACTTAACCTTTCAGCAGCCACAGCACCACTCCTGCCACATGCAGATGATGGGGCTATCATGATTAATTCTGCTGATTCAGGACTGGAAGGGAGACAAGACACAAAGAAGCCCTTAGTTAATGAGAACTGCTGCTGCTCTGGTGTCCCTATCAACACAGATCTCATCAGCCCAGACTATGTTCTGCAGTAGCTGAGGACGAATGCAAAGCTCTGGGTTCAAGGGAATTGTAGACAATGAGCATTAGCTGGTAACATGCTCTGAGACAAGAAGAGGGTTAAATCCCACTGCACACACAGGAAACATGAAGCATGAAGGTGGGAAAGTGATTTCTACACAGCCATGAAGTAAGGTAAGAGTAGAACTGGGATCAAAATCAAAAGTTTTCCTTAAATTTCTCATGTACAGCTCAGCTGCTAACTTGTTTTCCCATGACATCTTCAGGGTGGAGGAGGACACCTAGCAACCTGCCTTTCATTTCTCTTTGTAGGTCATACAGCAGTTGAGTGAGCAAACAGAGGCCCAGGCAGCTGGAAGCTCTTTAGTCCCTCTGTGCCAATGTTGTGTGTGTTGGCCATCAACCTCTGCTCCTCAGCCATCAGCCTTTGCTCAGCCTCTGCTCACTCCTCAAACCGTGCCTGAAACCATCTCCCCACTCAGCCCAAAGACACTGCTTGCTTTAACTCCACCCCCTCTCCTCTGCTAGGCTATGTCAGAAGTTGCTGGGAAAAGGCAAGATCACCCTCTGACACTGAATTCAAGCTGTCAAAGCTCTCAGCATCTTCCCAGAGGAGCTGAAGGATCCAGCATGGGTTCTGTGGCACTGTGGCTTTCTCTAGCAAGTGAGAAAGGCTGTGATGTTGTCAGCAAGGAGAGCCAGAAGAATTTGTTTATCTGAATTGCACAGATGATTCAGAAAACAAATGGGTGCTATAAATACAAAGCTATACTTGCAAAGAGTTCTTCTCATGCCTGGGAAAAGCAGAGGCAGTTCTGGAGGAAATCTCTCTAGGACACCGTGAGGTCTGAATGAGCAGAGGGTTAAAGTAAAATACAGTGGCTGTCTTGCCAGTGTAATTTTAGTGATTTTAATAAAGGGATTTTTGTCTATTAACCTTACTATCAAAGTACAGAGATAGAGGGTCCCATAATGTAAGGAATAAAAAGGTGAAGGATCTAATGGACTCTTCCTAAAAGTGGCAAATAGGGACAGCTCCTGTGAAAGAGCAATGTTCTCAGGGCAGAGAGGTAAATTCAGGTACCTGGACAAGATGGCAACATCTTCTGGTGAAGAACTTTCCAAAACCCACCTGCCACCAGCTCAGGCATCAGGTATTCACACTCTCCTCAAAGCAGAAGTGCAAAGTGACATATTTAAGTGGGATCAAGGACAGGAAAAGCAAAGAGGGCCCAGTAAAAGGGAGACTGGCAAGGTCCCAGCTGATGGAACATTAAAAGATTATTTCCAGAGCTGTGGCAGTTTCTCCAGTGTCATGTGCCACAGCCTGGCACTGAGTTGGAGCCGTGAAGTGAGTGCTGCCCCTGGTTCTGCTTCCACAGCAGCACCACGAGGATCCTGCACCCAGAGGATGCACCATGGAGGCCCCCAGAGAAGTTTGCAGACACTGTACCTGACAGCAGTGTAAAGAGAGATGTGGTTGGCATGGCCACTCACTCCTCCCGCATCAAACGTCACCACCTGCAATAAAACCACACAACAAGAAGCAATTAGGAGCAGGAGGAGGAGGAGCCTGTGCAGTTCCCAGTTTTGACATCCAAGCCCTGTCCCAGCCTGTTGCTCTAATAGAGTTGTTTATGTGTTGCACAATGAAGCCTTGTGTGTGTGAACTCCTCATGCCACAGAAACACAACCAAACAAACAAGCCACTCTGGAACTAGATGACTACACAGCCTAACAGCTTAAACAACAGAAAGATGACAAAGATCATGTCCCCACTGGCAGGATGCACTTGTTACTTATTACCAGGGCAAAAGGTCACTTTCGAAGTGATCTGTTGCAAATGTGTTCCTGACCTGAGAGGTCCAGCTCTATGAATCACTGTCTCCTGGATCTGAGAGCATCCTCCAGTGCCTGTGGATGACAGGGTGAAGGTATGGTTTGCTGAGCTGTGAATCAGCACATTGCTGCAACAAGAGCCACACAAGCATCCATGACTGTCCTGGTTGTAATGAGGCTTCACCACAGAATAACAGTGATAAAATAATCTGATAGGAGAAGAAGACTTTTTAAACAATCTAAATGCACTTTTGTACAACCAAATCAGGCTTTTCACTGAATGAGATCATATTGTTAATTGATTTTCTGCAGGGAGAAATGGGAACTCCAAAATGCAGAAGTAATGTGTGAACACAGCAGTGATCAGAGCACAGAACACCCCTGGCTGCCTGCCCTCAGACCCACCAACAGTGTGTCAGGGCTGAGGCATCACCCTGGGGACTCACTCCCTCTCTGGGGCTGTGCAATGGGTACTTAAAGGCTCCTAGTTCCAACCAAGCAGCACAGAGTGCAGAGTGGACAGGGAATGTGTGCCCATTCTCTTTCCAAGGAGTGAAAGTGACAGTCCCTGGACAGGCCCAGCAGCAGAGCTCTCCACAGCTCCCTTCTCTGGCACCACGAAGAAACCAACTCCCATGTTTCAGGCAATGTTTGCTTCCTTGCCAGCTTGTTCTCCCTTCAGGGAAGGAAATGCTACGGCCTGGCTCACTCACTGCACCTCCCTTCTCAAAATCTATTTTATATTCAAGGCCTGGAGCACTGGGTTAGAGATCAGGGAAAGATCAAAAGCCACTGTGCCCACCCTGCAACTTACTCCTCCACTCTCCAGCAGGAGAGGCCCTCTGAGACACGGGATATTGAGTCAAGAGGAAGAGGAAACACTAAGGCAGTGATAAGAAATACTTCAAAACCCACAAAATTTACACAAGCCTGCTTATAAACCCACCCACCCAGGACAAGCCCACAGTTAGACTTTCTACTTTGCCCAGTGGCTGCCAGCAGGGACCAGTTTGCTCTTTGCTGGTGGGACCAAATTTGGTTTCATTCACGTATGAAGAAGCATTTTCAGTCAACTCCTATTTTGTACAGAGAAAAAAGATGTGTTTAACCTTGGCTGCTGCTGCACATCAGCACTACCAGAGAGCTCTGCAGAGCCTGCCATGGTGCTGAGCCTCACCATGGACATCAGCTTTTGGAGGAGCTCATCTGGAAACACACAAATTCAGCACAGCTCAGGGTGAGCACAGCACCCTGGGCTTTACAGATAAGAAAAAAACACACTCTGAGGTCACTCCTACTTAGAGTGGTACTTCCCTAAGATGACAACACTCACTGCAGGTAGAATAAATTCCTCTTCAGGTGAATAACAGTGTGAGTCTGATAAGGGCTGGACTTGCACTAAACCTTTTTACTCAATGGGGACAGAGAGAGGGTTTGTCTCTTCTGCCTGGTCCCTGATTTCAACGGAACTTGTACAAACAGAACATTTTTAAGAGCAGTACCCTGCTGTCAAACGTGGTTGAAATTAGCCAATGGGCTCTAAATTATTTTGAAACATGCATGTGCACATATATATAAATACAATTGCATTATTCCTGTTTCCTTAGGAAATCAAGTTAAAAACCCCAGACAAGACAAAACACAATTTTTTTTTTTTCTTCTGTGGAGGTTACAAGAGAACAAACCAGAAGACTGAGATAAGAGACTTCAGTGAGCAGACTAAATAAACTGATCATTGCTTTTACAAAACTGGCTTGGGCCAACTGTGGGAGCAACAAGGCTGGGTTAGGAAATATTCTTGACATGGGAATTATCTGCCTAGAAACACCTTTGGAGGTTTTTCTTCTCCACATCTGTTTTCAAATGAAGCTCCTGAGCTTATGTAATGTCTGAATCAGCTGAAGAGATTACACAGAGCCCATTTCCAATTGCTGTAGTCCAGTTTACTGTTAGGACATTTACAACTGAATTGCCTGTCTCTTCAAATAAAGGAATCTTTAAATACAATCCCCGAGGTATCTGCACAGTGACTTGGTCAAGGTGGCATTGCCTTTGTCTCACCCCTCTCAGCTCACATCTGCCTCTGGAACAGCAGGGATGCCCCACCCTAAATATATCATATATCATCTAAATATCTACAGAAGTCATCTAACAGGGCTCCAGATTCCACAGTACCACTGTGCAGTTCATGACTTAAAGCAGGCAGCAATCACATGTAAATCAATCCCTCTGGCATCAGGGATTCTTTTCATTGATAAGGAATTTGAATTTCTTTCTCACATGTGGAAGATATTTTCACACGGGAGCATTTGCTCCTTCCACCTGGTGCAGCTCCTGCTGTTCTGGCTTTTAACTCCTAACCTGAACCAGGCTGATGATGAAATCAAGCAAACAATCAGGACAGGATGAGAAAACCTGAACATCTTGAAATTGTCTGGGTTAAAAACAGGCTTAGCCAGTTCTGGGAGTGAAAGGCTGGGATAGTAAATATACTTCATGTGGAAATTATTGTTCAATGAAATCTTTAGGGCAAGAGGGAGTTCCCTCCCCACACCTGTTCTGAAATGGGAGCCGCTGCTGTTGCTGGATTTTCTTCTGGGTGACCTTGGTATTCAGGAAATGAGCCTTTCACTAGTTGAAGCCAGGGGAGCAGCCAAGACAAACAGGTCCAGAAATCCCTTCCAGAGAGGGGAGAGCACAGAGGAAATTACTCAATTACCAGCAGAAGAGAAAACTCCTGAGAGGTCTGGAGTCCATGATCCCTCCCCACACCTCAAAGCTGAGGTTCTCCTCCTCTCTCTGGTGTCACACAGTGCTTCAAACACAGCACACATCTGCTGTGGGGACACAAAGGTCTCTGCCTTTTAACAAGGGCCATTCCTTCAAATGCCACAGCACGCAACTCCATTTCTCATGGCCTTTCCCTGAGCATCTCTCCTTACACTCCCAGAGCCCAGTGAGATACAAACTTCTTTGAGTCTCTTGTGAGTTTGGAGATGTCTTTTGTGTCTGATTTAGGAGCAACGAGAGCCTGCCTGGAGTTCACACAATACTATGTAACTTCTTTTTTTACACACCAAACACTTTCTAATCTGGATCAAGACAAAGCAGCCTTGGCTGCCTTTCCCTGCAACACTGGCTTTTGCTTGTAAATCCAGCAGGCAAGAAATAATTTCCAAAGTCTATAAATTAGTTTTGGCTTTGAGTACACCAACCATTAATTTCTGTGTCTGCACTATTTAATGTACAGCATGGATGAAATATGTCCCTGTAGCTCCCAAAAAGATTGAGCTACTCCTGGACTTTCAGGGCAATTGAACAAATGAGTAACCACATAATGGAAGGAAACTACACAGAACATGTGGGACTCCTTGCCTTGCAATCTTTCCTTTCAGACATGCTGGAATTGCAGCCTCTGCTCCAGTGCCAGATGGCACACAACATGTTCTGTAAATAAAGATAATAAAGGTACCATTGTCGGTGCTGTGACTACTGGGAAAACTGGGCAAAGATTTCCCACTGGGATAGCTACATCAATACACACCTTCCAGTCGTGTTCACTCCACTGAGTTGGTCTGAAACTCTGATAGTTTTTGGTTTCTTCAAGGTGCTTTAAACATGTTCAGCCAATTCTATCAATTTCAACATTAGTGAAAAATGGACTCAGTTTGCCTTTCAAGGCAAGACTGTTTAGGACAGCAGAGATGTCACAGACAGCAAGCTCTGAAGTTTTAAATTGCAGGATGTTTAACAAAGGTAATTAGCTTCTCTCACTGCTGCTGGCAAATTCAGTCTGCTCCTAAATGAATGGTATTAGAGCAAACACCTGAGACCTGTGTGATTGCATGGGACACTTCAAATAATGAACATTTCCAGAGCAGTTCATTACCAGCAGCCCTGAGAAGTTGCTCCAGCTGCCCCTGGTGCTGCTGCTGTGTCCTGCTGCAGTGATTTGTCCTCTGTGCTGCTCAGGGAAGAGCTGATGGCAATGCAGCAGCTCCCACCCTGGCAGGGAATGTTTTCTGCTCTGCAAACCCCACATTTCACTGCTCAGCTCAGCTCTGTCAGTGGCAGGCTCCAGCCTCCCCCAGCACAAACAGCTAGAGTTTAATTTTCCCCGGGGCAAAGATCTAATGCTTCCTAACCATCCAGAGGAGTTTTGGTGTTTTCAGAATTTCTTCTGGGGTTTTGGTGCACTTGTCCCTGTGCCCCTGAGAGTCACAAACATGCAATACAAATCCTCGTGGGTTTGGAGCTTTCAGCTTAGATTAAAACCTATCTGTTCAGGGGGCCAAAAGGCACAAAAGGAGTCCAGGAAAACAGCATTTGTCTCTGTGCACAGCAATGAATTTAATGGAAAATTAGCCTCAGAATCAATACAAAGTTGGATGCATGATGCTGATTTTGTGCTTGTGGGGCTTTCATGCTACAGAAGATGTGGTTTCTTGTTTTGTGAAGTGCTGAAAGGCTTTGAGAGTTTTGTGATTTTGCTGCTAATCAGTGTGTGACAGTGCCATGTCTGATCAAAGCAGGATTCAACAGACAAGAACAGAACACAACCCTTGCCATGCTTAGGCCCTTATTCCTGTTCTGTGGGAAAAACCCCCAAACTGTTCATGCCAGGAAATCTCCCCAGTTTAATATCCTTCAGTCCTGACCTATAACCTGCTAATCAAGCTCTCTAACACACATCTGCCAATGGGCTTCAAATCTAAGTCCAAAGCCCAAATGGGCTCTCTCCATCACAATATGGCTACTTTAAAATACAGAAACCATTTAAGAGTTAAGAAATAGAAAAGTGAAATTCCTCCACTGTTCATTTTTCACTGGGAAGCAAAGAAAGCTCTTCAGGGAGAGAAGATATATCCTAACCTTAAAGTCTCCAAAGAAAGCTTCTACAGGGAAAGGCAAAGCCCAGAACACTGGCTGAGGAGTAATGTGGCAATTGCCTGTGCTGCAGAATATGTCACATTACCAGGTTGATGTTCTTGGCTTCTATGTGCTTCAGGACAAGGGTGGCAAGGAGCTGTGTGTCCCACTCCACAGCAGGATCATCTGGAAGATCCCTGAAAATGAGAAGAGCAATCAGTCACTTCACTGCTGAGACCTTTGTAAAGACCATTCTGGAAGAGAGAGATCATCTTAATTACAGAATGAAATCAAGATAGATGTATTTACCCTATAAAACCACTGAACCTTACTTAAGAGTTACAAGCTTGGATACTGGAGGGCTGAAAGAGAAAGAGCAGTTCCAACACCCTCCTCATGGATTTGCCAAGGCCTCTCTTTCCTCTTACCATCAAGGCAGACTTTGTGACTGCTTTACTTCAAGCAAGATCTATTTTGTAATTTCTTTTTTCTTGATTTATCCCAGTCAAATTTAAAACCCCTTTAAAAACACATTTTTCTGAAAGACTTCCACATCACAATCCACTGGTGAATTACATTGGGAAGGTACCAAGCAAACTCCTGTAGTTGTTTATTCAGGAATAATCCAGTAACCACAACCAGAGGACAGTAGAATTGTAATTATATGGCCTGGATTTGATAGTAGCTGTTCATGTGTTTATTTTGTGCTTTGCATACCCAGCTGGTATGCAGAGCACACTGTGACTGAACTCCCTGCCTGGGTATTTTGGGTTACACGATTCTAGGGGCAGGGATCATGAGCCAAATGCAAAATAGCACCAGACAGCCAAGAGAACATTCCATATTTACACAACTGAGAGCTGAATGTGACCCCCCAGTCATTATGTTTGAATGATGCCAAGAAAACATTGCTCACAAAGTTGCAAAGGTTATTAGTAACAATAGGATAACACACAGCTGCTAAAGCCCAATAATGACATGTTAAACTGGTCTTTTTCTCAGACCTTTCCCCTCCTCTGGAAGTGTGATAATCACTGTGAGGTGGTTCAACAGCAAAATGACTACACAGCATTCTCCCACAGACACAGGGGCCTGGAGCTGAACTGATCCAGCTGTTTGCAGCAGAGAGCAGGAGCCACATCCCAACACTGCTCAGGCCTTGCTCCCTCCCCAGACTGCAGGGACAGCAACATCTGCAACAAAACTACAGGGAAATGTCTCCTTGGCACATTCCAAAACAAACCTCAGCCTGGGTCTTCAGGAGAGGTCTTCTGGCCACAGATTTTCCCACTGCTGTTAACAGTAGTTGGAGTGGAAGGAAGAGCTTTATGTCCAAAGTGACCATTAGGTTTTCCCTGTTGTGTTACATGTTCCTGTTCAGCTCAGAACCAAATAATGTGAATTAGAAACTCCAGCACAAGGGAAGGAGCTCCTACACCAGGCTACACATTCCAGCTCTGGTCCCTGTAGCAGCACTACAGCAACAGAAAGGTTTGTGTTGTTGGCAATTCCCTCTGGTACAGACAGCATCTTTGCCTGATGGACACCAGAAACCTGAATTCCACCACTGGAAAGATGCCCTGGTGTTTCTGTGGCTGCCTCATCAGCCTAACAAACCTGCATCTTACCTGCTCACACACAAACTTCCACATCTCCTGTTTAAGGAAGAAGAAGTGGCCCTGATGACCCTGAAGGTATGACAAGTCCCAGCATGCCACAAGCCTTAAACTCAGCACATTTATAAACATAATTTACCTAAAACATCCCAAGAAAGAACCACAGTTCAAGTGCAAGTCTGACAGTGCTTCAGTTGTTTGAATGATACCTTTGAGGTCTGTCAAGCCTTAATTTGATAATATTAAAGCAGCAAATCAGTCTAACAGGGATTCTTACACTGATCACTTCCACTGCAAACATGGTTCCCCTTTTTGGACAGGGCTTAAATGGAGGAAATCAAACGTCCCATTAAAACAGGAAGGGTGCTCTGACAGTGATGGGTCAGGAAAAAAAAGTAGGGCTTGGAATTTATGATGTCCAGGAGGCTTTGGTGTCATAGCCACTGCACTCAGCTTTATTGGGCTGTCTCCAAAAAGACTACTGGGTAGTGGAGCAGGTTTTAACTAGTTTAGACAGATAAAGATCATCCTCGTCAATGGAAATGAACAGCTGGAGGCAACGGTTTAGAATCCCTGGAAACAAAACAATCTGAAGGCATGAGCAAATTAACTCCCTCAACACTGAACTGATTAAGCAGGAATATTCTACCCAAAATTCTGCTTCTACCCAAATACTGCTGGTCACAGAGAGACCACTTACTGCCAGTAAGGAAAAGGAAATATTCTTCTTGCATCGTATTTTTCAGGTATCAAAGAGAAGCTGATCTTGCCAAACAAGGGACACATGCACAGAAGCACATTCCTAACTCATTAATAGCCATGATGGCCCATTGAAGTATTCCCAGCTCATTCTGTAAACACAAAAACTTACATACAGCTAAATGACAAACCCAGAGAAGTCAGCAGCAGAACTGGCTATAAATTCATCTAGACTGCTCCAGGAAGTGGCTTTTCTTTTATGGTAAGAGTTTGTGTAATACTTTATGAAGTTGGAAATGTGTTCCCATGATAGTAAAGGAAGCATGAGACCAGTAATTTTCTGCCTGTGCTCTGGATATCAATAATTGGGTACAATAAGGATGAAAAGGTCACGAAGAAAACCGAGTTCATACACAGCCATGCACATAGGACAGGCTTACAGGAGGTCTCCACAGGGAACTCTGAAGGGACATCAAACTTGATATCATACATGAAAAAATATTTTTCCTAATATCATAAATAGGTTCTCCCCAAACCTGAACAGTCCCCAGACATGCTGCACTATTAAAATAAGCTGCATTCATTGCTTTTACCTTCAGGACTTTATATGAGAAACATTCAGCATTTCAGTGGTTAACTGCATACTGCCTTTCTGGCTAAGGCTGATAATGCCTCTGAGCTCAAGGTCGAAGGGCTGAGATAAAGGACTCTAAAGGAGTGAAAATTAGCACATTCCCTGGAGCAGACCTTCCCCTCCCTGTCCTCTGCCCCAGAGAGCTCCTTGTTGCTGCTGTCAGTCACTGCCACACATCAAGACATAAGTCCTGCATCGGAGGTCATGCTGATGGAGGGGGCTGTAGGAAGGGCACAGGGGTTTGGGCACTTGGCCATATTTTCATCAAACGTTTATGGTCTGGAAGGGATGTTTATGGGATTCCACGTGTCTGATAATGAATGCAGGTGGCTGCTTGGATGCAGGGAAAAATGGAGAGATGCATAGAAGAAAAAAAATACTTTTAAAGCTCCACAAGAGCTGTCTTCCCAGGAATTTTCAGTGAAATCTGTGCTGTGCACTGTACAGGGAATTTACAGCTGTGCCAGGGGATCTGCAGCCTCAAGAGAGGGAAATGGAGAATTATGGTGCTGCAGTTGCTACAGTATGGAGAAGGGTCTATCCCTGCTCCCTGATTTCAGCAGTCACAGGAAACATCATGTTCAGAAAACAAAATCCTGCACATTCCTCTGTATCCATCCTCTGGTAGCAAGAACCAGACAGGAACCCTGTTTTTCTCCATCTCACTCCTTTGTTTTCCTCCCTGCCAAGCTGAGCAGAGCAGACACTGGCATCTGCAGCTTCCCTTCCCAAGGTTTGCCCAGGAAAGATGCAGTGGATGTCCTGGATATCCTGGAGCTCCCTTGTGGGGAGCTACAAGGGCCCACAGCAAATCACACCACCATCCCACCTCGTACAGGTTTGGCCCAGCAGCCTCACAGCTGAGGAGAGATGTCAAAAATCACTTTGTGCTGCCAGATCCTCTCCAGGCCTCCTCCTCTGCCTGCCCTGGGCTGGAGCTGCTCTCCCACCTCAGCCTGGCCATTGGAACACGCTGCACTTTGCCAGCACTGCTGGCCCTGCCAGCAGTCAGCACAGTTTTGTAGGGGCATCTTTCTAGGAACATTTGTGCTCAAGATGACCATATTCCTGTCATTTGGGAGGTCACTTCTGGCCGAGGTAGAGATTTCAAAACCTTCAGAGATATATATTGCCAAGTTATGCCCTCCTTACATGACAGACTGCTCAATCCCTGTCCAATTTTCCACTGCTCATCTTCCACAGAGCTTTCAGCAGCAGCCAGTGCATTCAGATGGGCAATCCTCTCTTGAAGCCTTCCGTGTAATTTATTCAGCCCATGAACTAAGCTCTCATGACTGCTCTAAAGGTTAAGTTAAACCCAGCAGCTGGTCTGTGTGATGGCCACGTGGCTCCACAAACAGCAAATGGGCTAATGGAACAACCTTGAGATCTGACCCTCCGGAAATCTGTGAGCTGGGAAATCCCCAGCTCCTGGAGGCCTCTGGTTACCCGAGAGCCACCCCATGTGGACCAGCAGGGACCTCTCTGCCCTGACGTGAAACCTTTGTGGGTGGCTTTTATAGGGAGCAGGCAATAGAGTGACTTCTTGGAGATGTTAAGGTCTCCATTTACACATTCCAAGACACCAGTGCAAAACTTCCAAGGTGCCCATGTGATTTTCTGTCCCACTACACACCAAAAGGGTCAGGATGAAAGAGCTTTCCTATTTTTTATTGCCTTTTTTATCCTGCAGCACAATCTTCATCAGTCCAAGGCTAGGGACCAGGAAACTTTTTGGCATAACTTCTCCTCCTTATCCCCAGTGCCTGATTTTACACTAAATCAGCCCAAAGGTCAGTGGGTTGATGGCAGGTGAGCTGCTGTGCACGAGGCTCCCAGCTGGGAACAACAACCACAATGTGTTTGTTGGAACAGAGGATGCCCTTTGTATAAAGTTATAACTGTATGAAATGAACATCTGGGCAATGAAACTGGATCAAGAAACAAAAGATCCCACAGAAAAAAAATGAGGTGAGTGGACTATTAGGGAAAAAGCCATGCGATGACTAGAGGCAATCAGTGACCTTGCTATCACAGCATCAAAGTAATTGAAAAAACTGTGTAAACAGAAATTATTTCATGCTCTCCAAAGTAGAGCAGAGAATTTTTATTTTTGAGATTGTGCTAAGATAAGCTAAGACCAGCTAGCCCTAGGTCTTGAATCACAAGCCTCTTGAAGCCTCTAAATCCTGACTTTAATTATTTATAAATTCCTCTTCCTACAATGGACAATTACAGACAGGAGGAA